GCTGGGCGGGGCCGTCCAGCCCACGCAGGAGCTCTTGCGGGGGGGCGTGGTGGGGGAACGGGCTCCGCTTACAACCTCAGGCTCGGCTCCCTGAGGCCTCTGGTGCAGGGTGTGCACAGGGTCCACAGGCGGCTGTTCAACTGAGGGACAGACTCATGGCCTCTTGGGACACAGGGCCCCCCAAGGACGGCCTTGGAGTAGAAACCTTGCTGCACACCACCCTGTGCTCTCAGAACACGGCCACGGGAGGTCCCTCCTCCTCCACCCCGCCCTCCCTGTCTGCACACATGCACACATACACAGTACACCACGTGCACGCTAGTCACCCATCACGCACTTGTGCTCACAGCACCGCAACATGCACCGTGTGAACACCGCACACCCCACACACACCTGCACATTGAGAACATGACACCCACAACACACCTGCAGGTTGAGAACACGCACACCCCACACACACCTCACGGTGAACATGCACACCCACACACACCTGCACCTGTGAACACACAACACCACAACACTGGCACGGTGTGAACCGCACACCCCAACACACACCTGCACATGGAACATGCACACCCACACACACCTGCACGTGTGAACAGGCACACCCCACACACACCTGCACATGAGAACCGCACACCCCACACACACCTGCACATGGAACATGCACACCCCACACACCTGCACGGTGGAACATGCAACCCACACACCACATGCACCTGTGAACGTGCCACACCCACACACACCTGAACCTGTGAACACGCACACCCCACCACACCTGCACATGAGAACATGCACACCCCACACACACCTGCACCTGTGAACCGTCCATTCCCACAAACACCCTGCCAGCCTGTGAACATGCACCCACCCCACACACACCTGCACCTGTGAACACGCACACCACATACACTGCCAACCTGTGAACACGCACACCCACACCACCCCTGCTGCGGTGCAAGCCTCGCTCTGCTTTCACACATCAAATCTCGGACCATCAGAGGCAGCCACTTTTGGGCTCAGCGGGCCCGTTCAGGGGCTGACTCGGGCCGGGGTGCTCCAGGCGTGTCCATGGGTGGCAGCGGTTCTCGGCCACAGGGAGAAGCTCTCCACCCTCTCGGGTCCCAGAGAGGGGTCCAGCCAGCAGCCCTGCCGCCCACTTGGGCGCAGGCGAGGAGAGACCTGAGGGTGGCACCGTTGCTGGGTTCCGGGGGTCCCAGCTGGAGCATTGGGTGTTCCGCTGAGCGGCTGGGAGTTAAAGCCACGTGGCGGGAGAGGGCGCGGGTCGGCGGGGCTGGCTTGGGTGGAGTGGATTCGGCTGCCCTCGGCTGTGGCAGGAGAAGGGCCGGCACCAAAGCACCAACTCTGAGGGGCTCTAGGCCCACTGGGGCATCGCCAGCGCCGGGCCTGCCGTTCCCTCCTGCAGGGAGGCACGGCGTCTCCCTCACGTCCACAGGCTCAAACTTTCTTAAAATTTTATTTATTTATTTATTTATTTTGAGACAGAGTCTCACTTGTTGCCCAGGGTAGAGTGAGTGCCGTGGCGTCAGCCTAGCTCACAGCAACCTCAAACTCCTGGGCTCAAGCGATCCTCCTGCCCTGCCTCAGCCTCCCGAGTAGCTGGGACTACAGGCATGCACCACCATGCCCGGCTGATTTTTTTTCTAGATATGTTAGTTTGCCAATTAGTTTTTTTCTATTTATAGTAGAGACGGGGTCTCGCTCTTGCTCAGGCTGGTTTCGAACTCCTGACCTGGAGCAACTCCCCCTGCCTCGGCCTCCCAGAGTGCTAGGATTCCAGGTGAGAGCCGCCGTGCCGGGCCAACGGGCTCAAACTTTTAAAGAATGTTTTACATGAGCCGTGCGGAGTCTCCTGGCCTCCCGGTGCCGCCCTCCACCTGCCGGGATCTTTCCGGCAATCCGCAAACCTGAGCGCTCAACTGCTTGGCGCTTGCCGGTTTGTCATTTAATTCACCTTGGAAATCCTTCCGGCACAACGTGCTTTTCTCATTATTATTATTTTTTTTTTTGTGATTTGTTGAGTGTTTTATTTTGTGCAGAGTCTCACTTTGTAGGGACGCGGAAATGCAGGTACCCCCTCTGGGTGGAGAGCCGGGCCACTGCCTGTCTCTCGCTCTTACAAGCAGGCCCGCTGTGCGGGACACTGTGTGATAGATTCCAGATGAGGCTTCGGGTCGGGGTGACTGCATTGGGGTTCCACAGGTACCTCCCGGTGGCCCCATCCATATGGGGGACAAGGCACCCCTCCCTCCCCCTCACACGGGATGTGCGAGCTCTCTCCTGCCCTTCTTGTGACATCTGTTCCATGAGGATGCACCTTTCTGTGTCGTGTGTCCTATTACGGCAGGTGGCCTGGCCCGTTTCACTGTCTGGCTGGTCTGGTCCGTGTGCACGAGACTCCTCTCTCTGCAGGCGGGTCCCCTCTCCCTGCCTGCTGCGTTCCCGTGTGGTTGCAGGAGCTTTCCGCTGATCCAGCTAGACTTTCTCTGCCTTTGAGCAGATTCTGGCAAACGGGCTGGGCGCCCGGAGTCCCTTCCCTTGTCTCTGGGTGGTGGGAGCCTCCAGGGTGGTGTCGGGTCCCGGCAGTGACAGTGACGTCAGGCTGGTGGTCCTGACCCCGGGGTGCCAGCGGTCCCCCCCCCCCAGGCCGAGACGGGCTCTGAGGTCGGCGTGGGTCACAACGTGGTACATCTCACCATGGCGGGAGGTTGCCACGGAGTATTAATTACTTTTTAGAGCATTTTTATCAAGAATGGCTGTTGGATTTTGTCAAATGTTCTTTTCAGTATCTATGGAGATATTAGAGCATTTTGCTCTCTAGATCTATTATTAAGATATCATTTTGTAGTAGATTTCCTAGTGATAAACCATCCCTGCATTCCTGGAAGAAGTTCCCCAGTGGTGGGGTATCATGTCTTTAACGTACTGCTGGGTTTTGTGGAAAAGCGTTTCGTAGGACGTCCCTGGGCAAGTGCGAAGGGCCGGCACGAAGCTGTCCTGGTGTGAGAACTGTGTCAGGTTTCGGCGTCAGTGCTACATTTGCTTCCTAGAAATGTTTGAAAGGTTGGCAGATTTCTCCCGTGAAACTGTCGGGATCGGCAGTTGTTGTAAAGTTATTTGGCGGTGAAAGAAACAGAGAGAGAGAGAGTGGGTCCAAACAACGTAGCTTTTCTGATGCTCCATGGCGAGGTTCGCAGGTCCCAAGAGAAGGGGGGCCCGAGAAGTTGTGCCCGTTTGGAGGGGGTTTGGGAATTTATACTGTTTGGAGCGGGCTAGGGACTTTTGTCGGGAAGAGCTTGGATTTTTCCGCTGTGACCTTCAGCGGTAATTGAGAAATAGGAGGGGCTTGCAGAATTTGCGGAATCCAAGAACCAAAACTTTCTTATCTGGATGAATGACTAGGTGTGGTTGTTTTCAGCCCGGCCTGGCAGCTGTCCTTGGCAGGTCTGGTCTCGTGAGCCTTTTCCTTCTTGATCTAGGGAGGGGAGGGGGGCCTGCCACCAGCCTTACCATTGTATTATTTTAAAGTCATAGTGGCTCTTCTACAGAAACCGACCTAGTAAGATTTTCTGTCTTTTCTGGGGTTAGTTTTCGTCAATTAAGCTTTCCTAGAATGTAATCCACACAAAGCTTTAGAAACTTTTTTCATAATTCTCTTACTTCTGTTTTGGTGGTTATTTCTCCTTACTAGGGAAACTGGACATTTTTAAGACTCAGACATGATGCCACGTGATGGGGGTGGGGGGGTCAGGTTTTGGGAGTGGCAGTATTTATCAAAACCCTATTGATAAGTAATCGTGGGGCCGACCGAAAAGCACGGTTTCCAAACCCGGCAGCAGCTGTCAGCCAGTGAGGGTGGGGGCCGTGCCGTGGTTCTGGGCTGCACGGCTCGGGTGGGTCTCTCCCTCTCCTCCCCCCGCCAGGTGTCTGTGTGCAGGGGTGATGTGTAGGGGAGGTGGCATCCAGGGGCCACCTAATGGCAGGTTCGGGGACCGGTGGCCTCTGTCCTCAGCCCCCTGCCCAGCAGTGGACGGTTCCGTGCCTGGCCCCCCTCGTCCTTTCCTTCTGGGGCGTCCAGAGGGCCGGGGACCCGGGGTGGAGGCAGCGCCTGGCCCCTGACCATCAGAGCGGCTGAGGTGTCCCACTTTGGGAAGCCCCGTTCTGCCAGGAGGGCCTCATCTCTGCCTGGGACACACTCCCCTCGCCTCCAGCCAGGGGCTTCTGCGTCCTTAGCGGGACGCACCCCCACCCCGGAGGGGCCCACCCCCGACGCAGGGCGGGGCCGTCTCCGGGCCGCTGGGCCCGTGGGGTGGAGAGTCTGCCAGGTGAAGGGTGTAGGGCAGCACGTCAGGGTCTCCTCTCCTGAGGTGATTCATAAGAAAAAGGCGCGTGACCTGTGGTCACTGCAGCTGAGGGTAGCAGGTGTGGTCGGCCTGGAAGGTCTGCCGGCCGTCCCCGGGCCAGACGGGGCTGATGGCTGAGGGCCCCGAGGGTGGCAGCTGCCGTCCCGGCCCGTGGCCCACAGCCGGCCCTCCCCTCGCAGACGGAGCCAGTGACCGTCCCGGATGTCCGTGGCGGGACCCTCCAGGACGCCGTGCGGGTGTGGAGCAACGTCCCGGCCGTGCGGAGGTATGTCCCGGCACACGGGGGCCCTGCGAGGCTGGGAGGGACACGGACCAGACCCGGGGGTCCCCAGGGCGTGGGGACACAGCAGGGCACAGCGGGGTGGCCAAGATCCCTACAGACACCGCAGCTCGGGGAGGCCCCTTCTGCCCCGGCCCCTCGCTGGCCCTGCCCGGGCGCTTCCGGGGTCTCCTCTCGGGACTCTGCAGTGTCCCTCGTCCTGGACACTGGACACGTGTCACACAGGCTCACGCGTGCTCACTCACGTGCGCACGCCCCACAGTGCACGCCGGGGCTGCACCAACCTTCTTCCGGTCCCTGAAGCCCACCGTGCCCAGCCGCCCCCACCCTGCCGTGCCGGCATGTGCCCACCGGGCGTGCTCTTGGGAACCGGCCGTCCCCAGGCCTTGAGCCCTGAGCACACGGGCCTGTCCCCTCGCTCCTGCACCCCCCGGGCAGCGCCGTCACGTGCACTCGTGAGCAAAGGCAGAGCGCGCTTTCTGGGACTGCCAAGTCGTGTCTCCTGAGATTGACTTTCTGGAAGCTTCTGCCCACTCGTCTCCCCAGTTCCAGCATTTTCCCAGTGTGCGGCGTGGCCGGGTCCTCCAGCCTGGCACCTGCAAAGGTGGCCGCCCGCCGGGTGCGCTCCCCTGGACCCCCACGATTTGCGTGTGGGTGGGGCCGAGGCAAAGTGCTTTTCCAGAGCCGCTGCTTTCCCGCAATCTTGAAGCCTCCCACGCCGGCCCCTCCCCTCAGCAGCCCCGGACCCCGGCAGGCTCCTCGGGCAGCCGCTCTGCCGAGAAATACTAATGATGGCACAACGTAGGCGTCGTTACGTGGCGGTGCAGCCCAACCCAGGCACAGGGAGCTGCTCCCTAACAGGCACCCCTCCTCTCTGGCTGTCACCCTAGAGCTGCCACACCTGGTTGCACCTGCCCGGTTTGGCTGGGACCGACAGCTCCTTCCTCCTGGGCTCTGGGCCCTGGGCACAGCCCCTTTCTGAGCAGGGCCCCCAGGCCCCAGGGGCTCCTGCCCACTGTCCCCCAGAGCTCCCCACTGGGTGCTGGGGGCTGGGTGCACCCAGACCGCACCCCTGGGGTCGCCTGGCTCCCGGTAGGAAGCTGGCAGCGGCTCCTTCCCACGGTTTCCCTTCCAGGCGAGTGTGCGTCTTACAGGAAAGTGACAGACACACTCACTGAAAGTGGAAATCATTTTGCCCAGATAATCGGCAGGCGACCACCGTCACCGGGGGCAGTCAGGGACAGCCCCTCGCTGCCCAGGGTGGGGTGCAGGGGCAGTGCTGGGGAGGGGGCACTGCGTGTCTGGCACCTCAGTCGTGGCCTGCACCCCAAAGCAAATGGGGAGATGTTCCCGGAGTCCAGTGGGCGCCTGGGAGCACGGGACGGTGTCCGGCACCCCACCTCGAAGCCAGTCCCCCACCAGGGCTGGGGCTCGCAGCCCCTGGAGCTCTGGACGGCCTCAGCCTGGGGCTCTTTGTTACGTTGGGGTTTCCTGGGGATGCTGGTGACACTGGAGGAGGGTTTGGCCAGCCTTCCATGTCTCGCACCCCATGCTGAACGTGGCCCAGGGTCCGGTCCTGGAGACCCTGCCTGCCACCCCCAGCCTGCTTTCCACAGCACCATCCCTCCTGGGGGGTATGGGGGCCGCTGTCCCCTGCTGTCCCCTGCTGCCCAGGAACTGCCTGTCCTTCCGCCTGGGCTCCTGGGTGGTGGACCTTGGACCCCCGGGGATGGATGAGGCCAGCGGCTCCCTGCACCCCACACGGGAGCCCCCCGGGTGGGCCCCGAGGTGGGTAAGGGGCTTTCTTTGTCCCTGGCAGCAAGCACTCGGCCCCCATCTCCGAAGAGGAACTGTCCCTGCTGGCTCAGGACAGGCAGAGGGCACGGCCGCACCCCCGGACGCCGGCCAGGCTGGTGAAGAACTGCTTTCTCCCCCTGAGAGAATATTTTAAGTATTTTTCAGCAGAGCTCACTTCCTCTTTGTAAATGAGTCACCGCGCCGTGGAAAAGACAGACTGACTTTTCCTAGAACTTTCCTTGCATTGTCTGCTTTTTCCTCCTCGGATCATTATTTTATTTGCTTGCTTAACTTTCGGTGTCTTGTGGTCACTCCAGACCCATCTCCTGTTCAGTTCTGAGCCGCCGGGTCCCCCCACCACGCTGGCCCGTGGGCTGGGCAAGGCGCCGTGTGGCTCGTGACAGGACCCCGTGTTCTGTGCCTGTTGGTCTTCCCGAAAGCACTTCTTTGCTCCGGTGGAGCAGTTAACAATATATTCCTTATACGATGGCGATTGGTCCTGACCTGGTGTTTTGGTAGGTGGGCTCGTCTTTCCTTCCAGGCCACAGGACTCACGGGTGTGGGGACAGTGACGACCGGGGACACTTTACAAGGACTTGTGGCACAAGTCCCCTGCACATGTGTGGCTGGGCCCTTCACCACCATCACTCCTGTCTTAGCCCCGTGAAACACCCGGACCTTTGTGAAGTCCAGACACGAAACCTGGCCAGCCACGGCCAGCCACGGCCAGCTGCACAGCCGGCACAGAGGCCTAGGCAGGTCCACTTGCAGAGTGCGGAGCCCTGTGACCCTCCTAACCCCGACAGAATGGCTCGTGGGAAGCAGGGTCCTCCCGGCCCCCTGCCGTGGGGTTGCGTGAGCACGAGTCCGGCAGGGAGCACCGCCACCCGCAGGCTTCAGATCCGCCTGGGGTGTCCCCCAGGGAGGTGCCCACACAGCCAGACAGCCCCGCAGGGACCCAGACTCCACCTGCCCTGGGCTCTGCCTCCAGGGACCTGTGGGGTCAGTGCTGGGACCTTCAGTCGCAGGTAAAATGCCTGTTGGAGCAAGACTGGGTTAAAGTTGGACCTTTTGAAGAATGTTTGAAAAATACCTTGAAGTAGAATAGGAATCTCCACTTGGGTTAATATGAGCAGACACCTGTCTTTAGAAAACAGGGCTGCACTGTGACAACACTGACAACACAGGTCTCACGTCCAGGGGCTGACGCAGCAAGCTCCGTAATGACACCGGGCTTACAAAAGCCACAGAAAACCTGGAGCAGGACGCAGAGATACAGCATCCAGGGCGGATGGGACCGTCCTGGGCAGGCCAGCCGCGGGCAAAGGCTCCACGAGGCGGGCTGAGCGTGCTGCCTCCACCCCAGGGGGGGACCAGACTGCTCAGTGGACCCCAGGGCCTCGAGGGATGGGCTTCCTGCCACCCCAGCTGTGCCTGCATCTCCTCGTCTCTCTCCAGCGTAGGGACGGAATTGTCCACGCCACCCGGAGAGTCTCCAAGTACCAAAATTCTGCCCACAGCACCCCCTTAGTGATCCTCTGCGGTCAGCTTAATAACGACCCCCACCCCCAAAGGCGCCCATGCCCTAGTCCCTGGAGCCCGTGAATGTTGTCTTATAGGGCGAGAAAAGGACTTTGCTGCCGTGGTTAAATGGAGAGGGGAGGTGACACCCTGGATTATAATCCCGTATACGGGGGCCCTGTCGTCACAAAGGGCCTCAGAAGAGAGAGGCAGAGCCAGGCGACCACACAGAGAGGCCAGGTGGCCCGGGGAGGCAGAGGCTGGGGAGAGAGATGCCGCCACAGGCCCAGGGCCACCCGGGCCACGGGAGCTGGAGGTGGCCGGTAGGACCCTGCCCTGGAGCCTCCGAGCAAGCACAGACTCCCAGCTGCCGGCCCCCAGGACAGAGTGCTGTTGCATCAGCACCGAGTTTGTGGTGATCGGTGACAGCTCGCAGGAAGGCAGGAATCCACGTGGCCCTGTGTCAACACGCGCACACGGCAGCGGTCCCGTGAGACTATAATTCTGTATTTTCCCTATGGCTGTTCTACGACTAGACATGTCCGCGCACAAACCCTCGCCGTCGAGTCACAGTCGCCTGCAGTGTTCAGCACAGTCACGGCTTGCCGGCTCGGAGCAATGGGCCCCTCCGCCCGCCCGGGCACGTGGTCGGCCAGGGCGCCTGCGTGCAGGTGAGCACGTCTCCCGTGGCTCAGTGACGCGGGAGTAAGAGAACAGATCTGCTTCCGCAGACCAGGAGTCTAGCTGCGAGCACCCACCGAGCCTGAGGGCAAAGCCACGAGCCCAAGAGGCTGGTGGCCTCCAGGCGTGCCAAGACAGAGTCCCAGGGCATGCGAGACGCCCCGTCTCTGAAACCTCTGAGCGGGGCGCACTGGGTCTCTGAGTGTCCGCGTCTCACGCCGAGAGCTTTGCACCTCCAGTTTGCACAGATACGACCCCCGCCTGGTCCCGGTCGGCCCTACACGTCCTTCCGGGTGGGCCTCTCTCTGGACATGCCCGGGACGCAGGCACAGCCCGCCGCCCGAGAAACAGTCGTCCTCGAGGGGGAAAAGCTCAAACTGTCCCCCGACTGCAGGAACCTCCCGCAGGGTTTTCTAGGAATGTTTCCTCACTTGCCGGGCTGTGGGTATTCACTGCCAACGGACACAAGACAAACTCTGTAATTTTAAAGAAGTTTATTCTGAGACGAGTCTGAGGACCACGGCCCAGAGCCACGCCCAAGAAGCCTCGAGCAAGTGGACTCGCCGTGGCTGGGTCACAGTTTGCTTTCATACATTTCAGGGAGACAGGGGCTACAGATAGAGTCATAAATCAATACGTGGGAGGTGTGCATTGGTTTGGCCCAAAAAGGTGGGCCATCTCGAGGCGGGGGCTTGCAGGTCTTAGGTGGGCTTAGGGACTCTTTAGTCGACAGTTGGCTGATGGAGCTGGGCTTTGTCCGAAGACCAGGAGTCAGCGGAAAGGGGTGCTTGAGCCAAGATAAGGGTCTTCTGTCCTTCCTGTGACTCTACCAGAGTCAGGGCGGGAGGTAAGCCACGCCGTAAACACCTGTTGACTCACCAGGCCCCCTAAGAAAGGAATTTCTTTGGGCAAAGATCAAAGTCACCCCATCTCTACTAAAAATAGAAAGAAATTAATTGGCCAACTAAAAATACATAGAAAAAAAAAAAAACTAGCCGGGCATAGTGGCGCGTGCCTGCAGTCCCAGCTACTCGGGAGGCTGAGGCAGGAGGATGGATTGAGCCCAGGAGTGTGAGGTTGCTGTGAGCTAAGCTGATGCCACGGCACTCACTCTAGCCCGGGCAATGGAGTGAGACTCTGTCTCAAAAAAAAAAAAAAGATAAAAGTTCAGTCCTTATAACTTGTCATAACCACGCATTCGCTTACACTCAGGATCACCCGTCACTGCTCTGTGAGGAGGGCGTCAAAACTGTCCCCCCACGGGTGGGAAACGCAGGCGCAGAGGCCTAGGTACGAAGCTCACCTGGTGTTCCACTGCTCCCAGGGCAGGGCTGGGATTTGAACCCCACGCTGCACTCACCACTGTCCTGAGGCTCCCGGGCTGGTCTTGGTGGCCCCTCCTCATGGCCGCCCTTCTCCACAACTGCCGCAGTCCCCAGAATGTCCCCTCTGGCCCGGTGGTGTTCGTTCGTTGCCACTTCTCGGCTTAGAGGCCCCAGAGGCCCCCCTCTCGGGTGAACTGACAGCAGCACTTGGCTCATGGGACCAGGCCCCCAGCCCCACCCATAGCACCAGCCAGCTCCGCCTGACGCTGAGGGCCGGGGCTCCTCCCTTCCCCACTCCAGCCTTGTCCCCATTCTTCCAACAGGTCCCAGCCTGTATCTGGGACCCGCCCCTCCTGGAGGCCCAACCCTGCAGATGGAGGGAGTGTGGGCTGGCTCTCCCGGGCAGAGCTTGTGACCCAGATGTCAGCACCCGTCAGCCCAGCGCAGGCCCAGAGGTGGGGGCCGACTGGCTCTCCAGCCAGAGAGCAGAGGTGACACGGTCCTCTGCCAGCTGCTGCCAGCCCAGGGAGGGGAGAGGAACCTTGGCCACCAACATCCTGCGCCCCTCCGGCCCTGAGCCTGCCCCCCCCCCCTGCCCCCTGTGCGCCAGGTGGAACAGCAAGTGTGCGTGCGTGCCTGACAGCAAGTGTGTGTGCGTGCCTGAACGCGGCTTCTGGCTCTGGGGCGGATTCCCAGCTAGAAGGGAAACTGCCCCTCCCAATCTCCCAGCCTGGCTGGTACCTGGGTGGAGGTAGCTCCCCACCCCGCCCCAGTCCCTGCCTGCTCACTGACTTCCTGTAGGCTCTGTCTGCCCAACTGGAACGCTAACTTCCCCGGGCCAGAGGCTCCGTTTCCTCCAAAGCTCTTGTCCTTGGTGGTCACTAGATCTTGGCTGAGAGAATGACAGTCTGAGGGTGCCTGGGGTCAGGGGGCCTGGTGCCCCAGCCTCCTCCTGCTCCCCAAGGCCAGGCCTGCTCTCCCTCTGCTGGGTGGCAGGCCGTGGGGTACGGCTGCCTGCTCCGTGGCGCCCAGAGCCCCCAAGCAGGGAAGGGGGTGCCCAGAGGAGGCTGGCCACCTGCCACCTCAGTGCTCTCCACCGGCCTCACCCCAGCCCTTCCTGGACGTCCCCTGCTGGCCCCACCCCCCACCCCATCTTCCTAGCAGGTGGGGGGGCACTGACTCAGCAGAGCAGGGCGGAGGGCAGGGTGGGGTCCGGGAGGGACAGGGCAGTGCAGCCTTCCCCAGAACGGTCAGTCGGGCAGAAGGAGCAAAGCTACCTGCTTCCAAGCTGCAGCTCCTCAGCGCCTGTCACATGCAAATATGCTCTGCCCAGCGGCCCTTCGCCGGGGCAGGTTTGGGGGAGCACAGCTAGGTGGGGGTGGGCCAGGGCTGAGGAGGGGGCGGTGCCTGCTGACACCTGCCCTCCGGCCTGGGCCCTAGACTCATCCTCTGGGAAGAAAGTACGGGAGGGGCGCAGCCGGCAGGCGCTGGGACATTCTGCGGGGGGCGCCCGGACAGCACTCTGCCTCCACCGCCCCGACGCCCCGGCCTCCCGCGGCACCCGTGGGCACCCTCCGGTCCCGTACCCGCCCCGCCCCCGACTTCCGGGGCACCTGCAGCGCCCAGGCCCGCGTCCAGGCGGACAAGCAGTCCCGCTCGCCCGCGTCGCCGGACGTGCACACGGACCGACTGGGAAGGACTGCAGCCTCCCAGCCTTCCGCTCTGCCAGCCCCGCCCCCGGGGGCGGTCGCGTGGGCAGGGCTGAGGACCTCAGAGGCGGGAGCCCAGCTCCTTACAGCCCGTCTCCGCGCGCCGGGTCTCCCTGCCCCAGGCCACTGCGCCCCCCGCGGTCTCTGCGCTCCGAGGTCTCCCGCGGTCCCCGCGCCCCCACGATGTGGCTGAGGTGAGCCGGCTCGCGGACGGACCGTGCGGGTGTGGGGAAGGCGGGGGCCGCCGCAGTCCGGGGCGGGGTGTCCGGGCGGAGGGAGCCGAGCGCTCCGCGGGGTCGGTGTCCCGGCCCGGGCGCGCGTGTCCCGGCTCCGGTCGGCTGCGACGTGGGGCTCGCCGGGCTCGCCCGAGGGAAGAGCGGCGCGGGGCCGGCTGGCGGGGGACCGCAGGCGCGGGGATGGCAGGGCTGGCGCGGGGCGGCGGGGCGCGGGCGGCATTGCGGGGGTGTGTGGGGGGGCGGGTCCTGTCCGGGCGGGGGAGCAGCGCCGCTCGCTCGGGCACAGCCTGGCTCCTTCCCCGCCAGCGGCTGATTTCTCAGAAGGCGGGAGAAGGAGGGACGTGCCTGCCGCTACCTGAGGCCGGTGCACGCCCTCCCCTGGCGCGCCCTCCCCTGCACGCGGGATTCCCTGTGGGGCGGTGGGGCTGGGGAGGGCAGCCGGAGGGGGCAAGACAGCTTTGCTCCGGCTTTTGTCACACCCTCTTCAGTGCACATGGCAGGGCCAGCAGCCTGTGTCCCCCTCCCATGGTGAATTGGTGGGGACCCCAGCCCCAGGCGTCCCGCCCGTACAGCCCAAAAGTCTGCCCACATCGGGTCACACGGCCTGGTGTCCACCCCCATTTAGGAATATCTGTCGTTAAGATCAACCCCTCCAGAGACAAAAAATTAAGTCCAGGAATGTCACAGCTGGCCACAGCCTGGAGCAGTTGACCCTATCTCTGCCAGTCCTGGGCGGGGCTGGGGGGCGGCTGACTCGGCAGCCGCGGAGGGCAAACCGCTCTCCCCGAGCCCCCAGAACATGCCCCTCAGCCCCCAGCAGTCCCCCAGGAGACAGGGCTGGCCTCGAGAGAGCCCACTGGGCGCCGTGGGAGAGGAATGGGGGCCACAGAGGGGTTCCCGCCGCTGTGTAGTGGGGAAGGCAGCTCCGGAGTGTCAAGCCTGGAGGCAGGGAGGCCCTCTGAGGGCACCACAGCTGTCCCGCAAGCAAGAATGGTGGCCCCAACCGGGAGAGGGGGAGACCAGGACCACGTGCAGGTGCGGGGCGTTCCTGGTGGCCCAGGGCCTGCTTAGGCGCACCTGCAGTGTGTGGCTTAGCCTGGGACAGGCATCTGTGCAGACTCGGGGCAGCTGTCCCGGGCAGGGCAGTATCTCTATGGCTCCAGAGCTTATGGTCGCTGCCAGCCGGGAGGTTCCCATGAGACAAGTCCTTGCACCTAGGACACCCCGGAAGTTTCCCAGGCAGTGGCCTGAGAGAGGAGGGAGGGGGGGTCTCCCAGACATTGTAGGTGCAGGGACATCAGAGAAGTAGGTGCCCCTGGGCCCTGCTCCAAGGGGCTCCCACCTCATGGGGGTGCTGGCCTCAGAAACAGACGGTTTTGGGGGCTGTGACCAAAGTGGCCCAGCCCCCACAGAGCAAAAAACGAGGGGCCCTGCCCAGTGGGAGGTGACCTGGGGACCTGCAGGGGGAGCATGCAGGGTGCCAAGGAGCTAGGACTCGCTGGCCCGGGGCTGCTACAGGGTCTGAAACAGAAGGAGTCCACCTGGTTTGGTGGCAGAATGATCCTGTCCCACCACAGGGCTGTCCTGAAATTCAGCGACCCTGCTATGGGGCACGTCAGACATTCTCTGTCTCCCCAGCAGTTCAAACGCAGCTCCTGCCATGCGTACCCTGGAAGCTTTCTTCCCTCCGACGTCATGCAACTTCTCGGCATCCATCCCCATGGAAGCTGGGCCACCTTTGTGGCCTTGGTGGTGGCTCTTGCCACACTTTATCATCACATTGTCCTTGTTTTGGGGGGCTGGCAGGTTACCAGGGGCTTTTTGCCCCCCCGGGACTTGCTGTGCTGGGCAGAAGGGTGGTGTTCCTGGCTCCGCTCCCCGAATTTTGTGGCGAACAGTCAGGGTTCAGGAACAGTGGCGGACAGGCTGGCTTCGGGTGGTGCATTCACACCTCTGCGGCGGGCGTGGCCACCTCCTGCCCCTGGCAGCCGGCCTGCTACTGTTGGGAACCACAGCCCATCTCACCTGCCTTTCTGGTTGTGTCTTCCAGTCCCAGGCTCTTCCTGCTGCTCAGCAGCCTGCAAGCGGGAGGTAAGTTCAGATGGCGCTTCCCCCACCCCTGCCCCCACCCCCACCCCTCCAGCCACGTGCTCAGCATCCTCACCACGGCCCACGGCCCTGCTCGCTTACCTAGGGCTGCGCCCGAGGGCCGGGTCGATGTGCAGCGTGGAAGTCTGGAAGGGGAAACGCTTTTCCAGACTCCAGTTCTGCTGGATTTTGTTTGGTGTGGGTGGAGTGTGCCCCTCTGAGCCAGGGGCTTCCTGGCTCTCCTGGCCTCCATGCCCCAGGCGGCCTTTCGGAGCCCTAAAAGGCACCAGCTCCAAGGACACAGCGCCGCGGCCAGCCGAGGCCTTGCCCAGCCTCCCAGCCCAGAGGACACTGGGGCAGGGGACATGGCCACTTTGCCGGTGGGCATTTAAGCGGTTGCACAAACGATAAAACCACCCCGTACGGGTCACATGACCTTCTTGATGGATGTGAGCAGCATTATCATAACGTTCTTGTTGGGAGGTCGTTTTCCTTTCAGTGTCTGAATTTTCAGAGTATAACTGCACTCCCACGTGTATCGTACCGATAGATTCCTTTTCTGTTTAAATGGGCCAAACCTGGTGTTTGTACCAACCAGAAAAGCCAAGAACCGGGAAGTCTGCCCGACAGAGTCACTTCGCGGGCGAGGCGTCGGTCTCAGGAAATAAATTCTGTGCTTTTTGGATAGTTGCATATATTCAAGAGAAAGAAGTCAGGGCCATGGTGGGCAGCAACGTGGAGCTCGGCTGCGTGAGCCCGGAAGAAGGCAGTTTTGATTTGAACGACCTGTTCGTCTACTGGCAAATCAGCGAGCGGAACACCGTGGTGACCTACTACCTCCCCCAGAACAGCTCCACCACCCACGTGGACAGCCACTACCGCAGCCGGGCCTGGCTGTCGCTGGACAGCATGAGGCGCGGTGACTTCTCCCTGCACCTGTTCAACGTCACGCCCCAGGACGGGCAGAAGTTTCACTGCCTGGTGTTCAGGAAATCCTTAGAGATGAAACAGGTTCTGCAAACCGTGGTCACGCTGCACGTGGCAGGTAAGACGGTCCGGGTGGAGAGGACCGACCCCATCCCAGCCCGCGGCCCGGAAGAAGCGGTAGTAAAACCCCCTTTCTGGCACACTGACCTGTTTCTTCCTATAAAGAGAGCCGCGCTCTCCAGTCGTGGCTTTTATCTAATCTCGGGTGAAGCTGAGCGGTTGGAGAACCCTTCAGCTCATAAGGAAGTTTTTGCAGCCCGAGACTCCTGGTTTCGCAGAATCCCTCATCTGCTCCCCCGCTCTACTCGAGCTAGATTTTGCAAGTGGAATTGGGAGGGAGTGCTGCAAAGCGCCAGTTGAGATCAGAATTTAAGAAATAAACGAAAGGCAGCCAAGGAGCTCAGGGCAGTTCGGTGGGAGATGGGCCGCGTCCACTGCCGGTGAACTGCCAGCTCCCCATGTCACCCGAGAGAAGTGCCAGGTCCCAGTGAGGGAGGGCCCGGGTGGCCGACCTCCTGGCGTGGGGGCCGGTAGGGACCAGGCACCGCCCGCCAGGCAGGCTCAGCTGCACTTGGCTTCGGGGCCAGCTGGGGGGTGACCCTGGACAGAACAGGGCAGAGCCGGCAGCTCAGACCTCGGCCCTGGGCCTGTCCCTCCCCCAGGGTCAAGGACACTCCCGGCCGCCTCCCCTCTGAGCGGGTCTTGGCGCCGTGCGCCCTGCCTAGCCTGGCATTCCTCACCCCCTCCCCTCCCCTGCAGCGAACTACAGCATGCCCGTGGTGAGCACCCCCAGTGGCCCCCTGCAGGACGAGCTCACCTTCACGTGCACGTCCACCAATGGCTACCCGAGACCCAACGTGTACTGGATCAACAAGACGGACAACAGCCTGCTGGACGCGGCCCTGCAGAACAGCACCGTCTCCTTGAACGACAGGGGCCTGTACGACGTGGTCAGTGTCCTGAGAATTGGGTGGACCCCCAACGTGAACGTGGGGTGCTGCATAGAGAACGTGCTCCTGCACCAGAACCTGACGGTCAGCAGCCAGGCAGGTGAGGCCCGGCTGCACGCGGCCCCGGCCCGGGGGGCAGGGCTGGGCGTGGCGAGGGAGGACCTGTCGGGCCGAACGCAGAGTCCCTGCAAGGTGAGCCTGCAGCGGCATCAGAAGGTGAGGTTGGAAGGGAGAGAAGGTGACAGTCAGGCACACGTCACGAGATGGGAGCCCCCGCGGAGCCTGGGCACGTTGCTCCACCTAACACCACCCGTGGAGTCTGTTTTGTTGGACCCATTTTACGGTCGAGGGCTGAGCTCTGAAAGGCAGGGCTGGGCCCTCGGGGTGGGAGCCCGCACGTGGGCAGTCCCCGCCACGCTCTCTGCCTCTGGGCGTGAGATCCCAGACGAGGGGACCCGGCTGGGTGTGGCTGCTGGCCCAGGCGCTCCCTGTGGAGGGGGGCAGGCGGACACCCTCACACAGGCCACGGCTCTCCCCCTCCATGTCCCAGCTGCAGGAGGGGACCCACTGCGTAATCTCTGGGGCCAGAGCGGGCGGGGTGCAGGCTGCTTGCTCAGGAACGGCTGGGAATCCCAGACAACGGCAAGCATTGCCCAGGCGCCAGGCCTCTGAGCCTGCACGGGTGGGTGCCTGTGAAGCCCGCCCTGACTGCCAGGACCCCCACAGGGCCAGACACCCTCCTTCCTGAAATGAGGGTGCAGCTCTGAGTTCACAGTCCCTGAGCCTGACCCAGGGCAAGGGCTACCCCAAATGCAGTCTGGGACGGCTGCCTTCCAGCCTGCACTGCCCAGGAGAGCCGGAAGGTTCTCCCAGGGGCTGGCCCCCGGCATTAGGACAGTGTTTAAAGCTTCCAGATCACTCCGAGACACACTCAAGGTTGAGCTACTGGCCAGGTAGCTTCTCCAGGTGTGCTTGGAGCCACAGCGGCCCCTTTACAAGTCCCCGGGGGACCATGTTGCTTGTCTGCCCGCGAGAGCCTCCCTCTGAGAGGCCGAGTTCGTGCCTCACGGGTGGGAGTCAGGCGGCAAGCGGTGGCGGGTCCTCAAGTTACATGTAGAACTGCCACTCGACCCAGCAGTCCACGCCTGGGGACACACCTGAAATATTCAAAACAGGGACTCAGACGAACACCTAGGCGCGAATGTTCACAGCAGCCAAAGGGTGGAACAAGCCAGGTGGCCCTGGTGGGTGGGCGGGAGACAGGGTCCAGCCGCACACTGGACGCTGTGGAGTGTTAGCCCTAAAAAGGCACGAGGAGTTGGCTCTCACACGCCAGGACTGGGTGGGCCATGAGGATGTCAGGCTCAGGCACGGAAGCCAGGCAGAAAATGCCGCGTGTTCTATGGCTCCACTCACGCGAAGTGTCCGGACCAGTGAGTCCACAGAGCCAGGGGCAGCGTCCAGGCTCCCGGGGGCAGAGAGGAGTGGCGTGATGCCACCGGGCACAGGCTCCCTTCTGGGTGAGGGCAGAGGTCAGGAATGAGAGTGGTCACGATGGCATCACCCTGTGAATGTACTAAATGCCCCTGAACTGTTCAACTTAAAATGTGTAATTTTATGTTACATGACTTTTATCTGGACTTAAAAAAAATCTGGGAAGAACCTGTGCTTCTCGTCACAGCGCTCCTGTGGGGACCTGGGCTGGGGCTGGGATCGCACCTGTTCTGGGTGGGCACACCTGACCCAGGCGGGCACACCTATCCCGGGCAGGCACACAAGTCCCGGGCGGGCACACAAGTCCCGGGCAGGCACACAAGTCCCAGGCGGGCACACCTGTCCCGGGCGGGCACACCTGTCCCAGGTGTGTGCAGCTGCAGCCCCGACAAGGGGCCGCCCTGTAGGAGGAAACTCTCTTCTTCGGGAAAGCCGCTGCCCTGCACACTCTCCTCTTAAGGATGAAGAAAAAGATCCTTTCCCTCCAAGACCCCTTAAGTCTTGGGTTATTTTCCTCTTTCTTCTAGAAGCTTTCACGGGGACCCAAGACAAGATCATAGAGAAGTCAGGCCTTACCCCCCAGGAGCAAACCACCATTCTCTACGTCGTGGCCGGCTGCGTGGCGGTGGCGGTGGTGGCCGCAGGCTGGATGTGCTGGAAGAAGAGGTGCCCCCAGGGACACTACGCAGGTGGGAAGCGGCGCCAACGCTGATTTTGTTGGCGTGAGCGTTTGCCGTTTTACATTTCCCCGACTGCTGTTGATTTTGCATGAAGTTTGGTTTTGGCGGCGCCAACGTTCACGGGCAGCAGCCACCCGCGCACTCTCAGGAATGGCCACGCCCGGCCTCCCTCGGGCTGCTTCCTGACCACAGACCCCCAGGCTCGGCCGCGACGGCGGCTCTGGATTTGGAGTGGATTTGGTGGGAGCCACCTGGGGCGGGCCGGGTCCCCCGGGGGCGGCGAGAGTCTGGCCAGCGAGGGGCAGGTCCAGGCGTCTGTGTCTTAACCACGGACCACACAGCGGCAGAACGTGCGGTGGAGGGGGGCGAGCCACGGACACGGCCGCAGTGGTGGCCCGGGTGGCGCGGTGGGGCTCTTTCTGGCCACCCCAGGAGGCAGGGGCCAGGGGCAGCGGTGCAGTGAGCGCGGGGCCACGGGCCAGGGACCAGCTCGCAGCAGGAGCTTCCCGTGACGGAGTCTTCTCCCTGCCCCCGTGTGCCGCCCTGGGGTCTCCAGTGTGTGGCCAACACCAGTCACCCCCAAAACTCTTCCCACTGCCTGTGCGACCAGGCTTCAAAAGGACCCCTGAGCCAGGACACGGAGCCCATACGCTTATCCCTTAAAAAGCATTTTCTTCATCTGGGCGCGGTGGCTCGCACCTGTAATCCCAGCACTCTGGGAGGCCGAGGTGGGAGGATGGCTCGAGGTCAGGAGTTCGAGACCAGCCTGAGCAAGAGGGAGACCCGTCTCTGCTAAAAAATAGAAACAATTAGCCAGGCGTGGTGCCACCTATAGTACCAGCTACTCGGGAGGCTGAGGCAGGAGGATCCCTTGAGCTCAGGATTTGAGGTTTGAGGTTGCTGTGAGCAAGGCTGACGCCACGGCACTCTAGCCCCGGCAACGGAGTGAGACTCTGTCTCAAAAAAAAAAAAAAAAGGATTTTCCAAAACAAGGCCTGGGGCCTGGGGAGCCCCTCATCTGGGAGTCCCTTCCCGGTCCGAGCCGGGAGCCTAGGGAGACACGCAGGCAGAGGGTCTCAGGGCTGCCGAGAGCTCAGGGCCACCCGGGTCTTTCGAGAGCCCCGCCCCCCACCGCGCCCTGACCTCTCCGTTTGTCCCGCAGGTGCCCAGGCTGCAAGGCCGGAGCCGGAGCTGGCGGGTGAGTCTGCCCGGACGCCACGGGGCCCGGGCCGGCCGGGCCACTGCCCGTCTCAGACCTGCGCAGACCCTTCCGACGGCCTCGGCTTCCCCTCACGGCGGTCACCAGACGCACGGTGAAGCCCTCCTCGGTGCGCACGGCGTGTCCGCCCGCGTCCGGGCACGGGGCCACCCCACGTGTGCGCTCGCCGGCACTGTGGGGATTGTCCCTTTGTTGTCACCACGTTCATCTCCCTGCCTCCAAGGTGACGAGGAGGACCTTCTCATGTCCTCTCTCTCCCCGCTTCCCTTCCGAGACCGCGCGTGACGGGCAGGCGCCACCAAGGACGCGGACAGGGCCGCCGGGACGTGCCAGCCGGGGACGCCAGGCGGCAGTTTGAGAACGGACTCGCCCTGCTGTTGGCGCAGGTGCCACCGGCGAGGACAGGAGCCTCCCCGCCCAGAGGGGAGACCACAGCCGGACCCTGGGAGAACGAACGCGCTAGTCCCGGAGCGAGGCCCTTCCCTGCACGGCGGCGGCAGCTCCGAGACCATTGCTCCTGGGGGCGCCGGCCCCACCCTTGCTGCCAGCTCCGACGGGAAGGGCTCGGGGGTGGCCCGTCCCCGCCAGGAGCCCCCAAAGCTGGTGTGTGACTTGGCGCCAGGCTCGTCTAGACACCGAGTGGATGCAGTTGGAGTCGGAAGGCGGCGGGTCCGGTTTGAGGAGGAGGAGAGCGGCGCCCACTGCCCCCCAGGGCCTGCGTGTGGGGGGCGCCCGGGTGTCTGCAGCGAGAACAGAAACGAGGAACCAATGAGGCCCAGAGGGCAGGCCTCGGGTCCCGGCACTTGCCGCAAGACATCGTCTTTCTATAAGAAAGCCCCACGTGGGCTTTTAGATGAGCCCGACGAGGGACACACCCACAGTTTTAACGTGAAAGCATTAGAAGGCGTGTGCCCTCTGTGAGAGAGCAGCCGCTGTCGCCACCGGTCATGAATTGGCATCTGCAGCAACGGAGCACGAGGAGCTGCTTGGGGCGCCGGAGCTGGGGTGGGGACTGGGGGTTTGTTCTGAGCCAAATATGTGGGGCCGTGGCCCGGGCAGCCACGCCCAAGGGTCCTCGAGCAAGTGGACTCGCCGTGGCTGGGTCACAGTCTGGTTTTATGCATTTAGGGAAACAGGGGCTACAGCCACAGCCACAAATCAATGCGTGGAAGACGTACGTTGGTTTGGCCCCAAAAAGGCAGGACCGTTCGAAGCAGTGCAATACGGGTGATAGGTGGGTTTAAAGATTCTTCGAGTTGTAGTTGGCTAAAGAAATGAGGCTTTGTCTAAAGGCTTGTAATGTTTTAAGTTAAGGAAGTCTGTTAATCAGAGACCAGCCATCCAACAGACTCGAGTGATCTGTTAAGTAAACTGATGACATGCAGGTGTGGTCTGAGCTTGTCTTGCATGGCCTTACCTTGAAAATGAGTCACAAAGGACATCTCCAAGAAGGGCGGGGCATGACGAGGTCCGACCTCCCTTCTCGGGGCCAGCAGCTCAGCTTTAGGGTGTTTCTGGGGTCCCCTTGGCCAAGAGGGGGTCCATTCAGTCAGCTGGGGGGCTTACGTTTTGTTTAGGGGCCGCCCATCAGCTGGGCTGGGCTTCGCTTCTGGGGGCAGGAGTCTGGGCTTCGGGAATGTCTTTCCGGGAGTCTCAGTCTCAGGTTTGGAAAAGGGCTGGGCTGGCACGTTACGTAGATGGCAAGGGACCTCCCACTCTCCTGGGACAAAGGCGGGTGCCACACTTTGGTGTTGCCCCGAGTGACTGCCCCCACACCTGGGGGAGGAGGAAGCCCGGCCAATCTGCAGAGGAACGCTGGCAGTTCCCCAGCCCTGGGCCAGGCCGCACAGGCACAGTAGGGCTGGAAAGTGACCTAGAGTGACCTAAGGTAATTATCATGTCACTAACTGTCCATGAGAGTGGTTCTGTGGTGATGCCTGAACCAGCAGGAGGCCAGGCAGGGACCCGTTCACCCTCGTGTCTCGCTCTGGCTCTGTGAGCCCGTCGCGCTCATGGTTCCACGCTTGCCCGGCTGTCGGTGCGTCTGGTCATTTTCCGCCAAGAGCACACCGAGAACCGCAAACAGACAACTAAGACCCCACAGTTACTCTGACAAGGAGAACATTTCGGAGATTGCACCTGAACCCGAGGAGCTGGGTCCTCCTCCCCCTCCTGCCCTCTGCCCTCTGGTTGGGAGGGGGTGAGAGGGAGAGAGAGGGAGGGAGGAGAGGATGGGTGTCCCCCGTCCCCTCACTCACTTGCCTGAGTCTGTTCGGCTCTGTGGCTGGTGGGTGTCCCCTTCCATCCTCTGTCCTGGCAGCTGGCGCATGGGGGCCAGCAGCCTGAAGTCCCAGCTCACGGACCCTAACAACACTGTTGGCAGCTCGGGCCTGCAGCGGGACCCCACAGCTGCCCAGCCAGAGTGACCCCAGCCCACTCACTCCACAGGGGCGAGATCGTCCGGCTGCGACTCCCTTGGCCCCGCACACTGCGGGGATTGCCAGGACAGCCCAACTCGCGTTGGATAGGCCCGGCCTGGGAGCCGTGAGCAAAGTGCCTCCCGTAGCCCTGACCCTGAGACCCGGGACCCCAGGCTGGGAAACAGCAGACGCGCAGTTTTGCAGCCGGTCGTGAGCTGGCTGGAGCTTACACATGGCCGGTGCAGGAGGGAGGAGTAGTTACCACGGGGACTGAGCACACAAGCCAGGGTGGCCGGGTCTGCTGTCACGGAGAATTGCACCAGCCCACTGTCGCTCCTGTGGGAAAGTCCTACTGTGGGAAAGCTCCGTGAGAGCCCTCTGTCCAAAGTTTCCTCGGGACAAACTGGCCAAGGGCATCTTCCTTCATAAACAGCCCTTTATCTGCAAAATCCACGCATGAACTTTTGGTGTCTTTTTTTAATGACTGTTGGGTGACTGCTTTCCAAAGGCCCCCACCTTGGACACCAACACTCCATGGCAGCCCTGCGCTGTTTCCCCCAGGGAACCCCCGGAGTGTGCGTTATTTTCTCCAGAAACAGCCCGCAGCTCCTGAACATGCGGCTTTTATGATTGTAATCACAGCAACCTCTGATCAGGGAATTTCCAACCGTTGGTTTAAAAGAAAGTTTTCTTAACGGTCTCTATTTTTAACACTCTCAGCTGAAGCTCCTGAGTTTGCCTGTGTGAGGTCCAAGGTCCAGAAGTCTCCTTCTCATGAAACTGCTTTGCTGAAGCACTGGGTGCTGCTCTGGGTGGCTTTCATTCATTCATTCACTCATTCATTCATTCCACATTCCTTCATTTTCCCGCCCAACATCCACTCGACCAACATCCACTTGCTCATGCAGTCGTCACGTCTAGTCGGTCCCCCTATTCGGGGGCGAGGAGGTGGCAGGTGATGGGATGGCCTGGCTGATAAACTATCAACACGGAGAAAAAAGAGGAATAAACTCACAGCACATAATTGCCCCTTTGAAGGGAAAGATCACGGTGCAACCGTTCCTTGTTTGATTGACGGCCTGCGAAGTTTGTTTTCACAGCCTCGAAGATCCCTGAAAGACAGTAGGGGTGCCATCTCCCAGCCTCAGTTCCCACCAGAACCACATTCCAAAGACCTTGACAAGCGGCGAACTTTTCTCTCTTTACCCGCTTGTGCTTGGGCTGACACTTTTCTTTCTCTTATGTGGAGCCCTTCCCACCTTTGGGGAGTAAAATAAACTTCCTTTCTTTAAAATTGTTCTGTGGCTGGGTGCCGTGGCTCACGCCTGTGATCCCAGCACTCTGGGAGGCCGAGGCGGGAGGATCACTTGAGCTCAGGAGTTCGAGACCAGCCTGAGCGAGAGCGAGACCCCCCGTCTCTATTTAATAAAAAAGAAAAAAGAAATTTAAATAAATAAATAAATAAAATTGTTCTGATCTTGGTGTTGAGAATGCTTTCTCATCCCGCACGGAGAGTTCCCACCCACCGGCAAGATGTCCTCCGGGTGCTGGAGGCAGGCACCCAGGGAAGGCAGGTGGACAAGAGTGTGGCGTGGCCGGGGCTCCGGAAGAAATTCAAACAGGCGAGGGGTGGAGGGGGGCCGGCCTTTGGGTTTGGTGGGGGTTTCTGAGGAGGTGACACTTGTCCAAACCTATTCTCTGTGTCCATCATTCATTCATTCCCTCACCCCCCGGACGCTGAGAACATGTGGACCGGGCACTCACAGTCTCCGCCGTGGGGAGTCAGGAGAGACAGACTCACGTCACCAGTCCTCTCCCCAAGGAGTGGGCCAGTTGCGATGGGGAAACCAGAATGTTCTCCCACAGTGGTTGGGGGGGGCCTGCTGAGGAGGCCTTGGCAGAGGCGGGGGGAGCAGGGCCTGTCTGGGCTGAAGCCTCACCCCGGTAAGCAGGAGCCTGGGGCTCCATCAGCCCATTTCTGAAGATGAAGGACAGTGGGTGTCTCTTCAGGCTGATGGATCACTTTTAAAAATTACAAACACAGATTCAGGCGCAGTGGTGTGCACCTGTAGCACCCGTTACTCGGGAGGCTGAAGCAGGAAGGTCACTTGAGCCCAGGAGTTTGAGGCCAGCCTGGACAGCATAGTAAGACTCCATCTCTAAAGATAAAATCAAATAAATAAATCCCTTGGTATCCAAGGGGGATCCGTTTCAGGACCCCTGTGGACGCCACACTCAGCTGATGCTCAAGTCCCTGATATGGAACGGGATAGTATTTGCACAGAGCCTATGCACATCCTTTAAGTCAGGGGTCCCCAACCTTTTTGGCTCCAGGGACCGTTTTCACGAGACACAATTTTCTCCACAGACCTGGGGCAGGGTGGGGGATGGTGTGGGGATGATTCAAGCACACCACACTTCTTGTGCACTCTGTTTCTATTATTATTACGCTGTAAGATGCAATGAGATATCATACGACTGCCATAATGCAGAATTGGATGCCGCCGCCGCTCTGACGGGAGGCAAGTGACGGGGAGTGGCCGTGACACTCGCCCGCTCACCTGCTGTGCGGCCCGGTTCCCAACAGGCCACAGACAGCCTGGGTCCGAGGCCGGGGGTGGGGACTGCAGCTTGAGCCATCTCCCAACACGACGGAACCGCGCAGGGAGCCGGGCGCGACCGGCTCCGTTTTGCTTCTGACCCCGGTGGTCGCATCCTTCACGTCAAACTCTTCTGTTTAGCTCTGTACGCAGGCCGGCCCTTTGTGCGGGACATCTAGCTTAGAGTTCGAGTTCAGGAAAAAGTAACGGTCCCTTTTCCAAAGCCCGCTCCCCGGGGAGGTGGGGGAAGCGCGCGCACCCGCGGCAGCGTCACGTCGGACGTCTGTGTGCCCCAACGTGTGTCGCCCAGAGTCGACTGATGACAGGCAAAGCAGTTCCGCAGCCTCTCAGACCCCCGCTGGCGCCCAGACGTCTGTGGCTGCCGGCCGCCCCGCGACCTCAGCCCGCCGCTGCCGCCTGCCCTGCAGCTGAGGAGGAGGTGACATTCGCGCCAACCCGGGCGGCTGTTCATGGCCGTCGGGCCGTCTGCTCTCAGCTGCCGGCTCCCCGGATAAACTCGCTCCCCTGCACCAGCGCTTGGCCTCCCAGCTGGTTTTATCGGCTGTCGGGTGGCAAGGGGGCAAGAGCTCGAACTCAGCTACAAATTGTCATCACACTGTACTTGTATTCTTGTTATTGTTTGGTATTTTTTTTTCCCCAGTTTTTTCCATCTGAGGTTGGTGGAATCTGCAGGTGCAGACTCAGGGATGCGGCCCCGTGCGCTGGGTTGACGAGGACGTCCGCCCATCAGTGGACGGCGCACGCCCCTTCTCTCTGTTCCTGCATCCGTCCGAGGTGTCGTCTTGCCCGAGTCTGCAGCCACCCCTGCCATGTGGCTGGAGCGGTGTGTCCCGCCGTGGGCGCCGCTGGCCCCTTCGCCCGGCGACCGTCAGCTGTGGGTCACTGTGGGCTCCTCGGGCCACTGGCGTTGTGTCCCGGGAGGGCACTGGCTGGGGTGCCCGGGGCAGTGGGTCTCGGGTCCCCTGTGCCCTCCATGCGCAGAGCGGGGGTGCCCACCTCCCCTGATGCCACCACACCCAGCTGTTGGGAAGGCACAAAATCTCAGGTCCTCGGAGCTCGGAGCCTGCCCAGGCTGCTCGGGAATGGTGGGTGGTGGCTGGGGCCGCTCTCAGTCAACGGCCCGTTCTCTTGTGGAGGGTGCGGAGGGGGGTGGCCTGAGCCCCTCACTCAGGCTGAGCAGGAGCTTGGGGGACCCCCTTCTGGACCCCTCCGTGGGGCCTGCTCAGTGGCTCCGACCCCCCACCCCACCCCCCAGAGCTGCACTCCACAGCGAGGAAACAAGGTAGACTGTTCTCTTCTGACCTGGAGGCGTGAGAAAGCGGGTTCCAGAACGACACGCCCGGGGTGGCCCCATTAAGAACGGCCCTGTCTGTGGGGCTCGGAGGCTCTGAGCGTGTGTGAGCAGGAGGAGAGGCAGGTGGGCGCCGTGCAGATGGGTGACTCTGTACAGGGACACCTCTGCAGGTGGACATCCAGCAGCTGTCCTCTCCTGAGGACCCAGGACCTCCTTCCTCACCTTCTGTCTCCACTGCGACCTCACCACCTGCCCTTGCCTGGCCTGCAGGTCAGCCTCCTGAGGTTGGGCCTCCACCCTGCCTCACCAGCCTTCCGGCAGTGGGCCTTCCTCCCCTCTGGTACCCACCCAGCTCCCGCAAGCCCCAGCCCCTTCCAAGCTCTGGACCCCAGGGAACCCCCCCCAGCCCGAGCCCTTCCTCCTTCGGGGCCGGGGTCCAGTGTGTAGGGTCCCATGGCCCCTGCCAGGGTCAGCCCCTGCCGCTGCGGGGCCCCGCGAGTCTCCCGCCTGGCATCCTTCCCGGGCCACAGAGGCAAGACACTGAGGGGCGTGTGGCGTCACCGGGGCCTGCAGCCGTGAAGGTGAGCACTCACACGCTCCGTGGTCCACTCTAACGCCCCAGGAACAGACGTGTGTGCCGGGAGGGAGAGGCAGGGAGATGGGCGGGCAGGGAGGGCCCAGCACAGCTGCTCCAGGCGGGGAGAAGGGACACAGAGAGTCACCAACCAGATGGACACAGACGTGGATGGTCCCCACTGCGGCCGGGGCTGGAAAGTGACAACCTAAAATGTCCCCGGACTTTGCCGAGTGTACCCTGGAGCTCAAAACGGCCGGGCGAGAGCCTCTGCCAGACCCAGTTGTGTCCCTGGACACTAACTGTGTCCGCATCCTCTACCCCCAGGGGGTCCGAGTCGGCCAGTCGTGCCAGGGTGGTGGCTGGACCAGGTACGCTGGTCGTCCCTGACACCTGAGCCGGGCTGGGGGGAGCAAGTGACCGAGAGGACAAACGCATAGTCAGTGGCAGTTCCTGAGGCCGTGGCTCCCCGCTGGCCCCCGCGGCGTCTTCCTCCCGGCGGCCCCCAGGCGACCAGCTGTCTGGCCTTGGAAAACCCCTCGCGAGCAGCCCGGCGTGGGGCAGGTGCGCTGCTCTCCTGGGGCAGAAAATAGCGCGTGGCAGGGCCGCCTCCGCGCTCGGGCAGCCGCCTGGAACCGCGGCTGGCGAGACCTCGCCGCAGATCCGGGGTGCGGGGGCCCGGCGTGGGAACGGCCGGATGTTTTGGCAGCGGTCGGTCCCTTGCGGAGCAGGACGCTGGGCTTCCGTGGGTGTCTCCGTAGGGCCTGCAGCTGCCGGGAGGGCAAGGTCCCCCATGCCAGCCACCCGCAGGCGGCTCTGAGCCCAGCCCGCCGCGTGTGACTTCCAGAGTCCCTGCCACCGCTGCTGCTGCTGCTGCCAACACTGGCCGGCCTCGGGTAGAGGGGGCAGCCCAGCAGCGTGAGAGGAAGTCGGGTGGGGAGGGCTGGGGACGGGTTTGGAAACAGCTGCAGCTGGCTGGGCCCTGCTCGGCCTCCCCCGGCCTGCAGAGGGGCCGGGGCTGGGCAGCTGTGCTGGGCAGAGTCTCCGAGCGCAAAGCCCAGGGCCACCGGCTGCGAGTTCCACCACCCTGCCTGGGGGAGGCCGGGGTGCAGGGACGGACCCATCGGCCACATTCCTGCAGGGGACACAGACCTGCCCACGTTAGGAAAGTGACCCCCGTCCCGCTGAGCCAGCACCTGAGCGACAGGACGTGCCTGTCACCGCCGTTTCCTGAGCTCACCGGCGCGTGTCTCCTCCACGGGGCCACACACATGTGGCCTCAGCAAACCTGAGCAAACCTGTGCACATAGCCACCACTCCCTTTTGGCTTCAAAACTGCCGTGCCCCGTGGGATTAAGCCCTTTGCCCCAGGAGCACTCGGACTTATTTATTTTCTTAAATCATGAATAACTAGAACAGAGCAAGCACTTGGGCCAGCAGCCAGGAGACTGACTCTGTATCCAGAGGTTTCTATTTCACAATTGCTGAAACACTCATGCTGAAAGATAATCTCAAAACAGAGACAACATCATGGCTCTTTGTGTACAGATACAAAGTGGATGCATGTTTAAGATTTTATGTAACTCATTTTCGGTGAGAACACCAATAAGATGTAACAGCCAGTTCAAAGTAGATGGAGGGGAGAAAGCACAAAGCTACAGGGAGTAGAGGAATGTGGGATTGATCTAGGAATAGACAGGACTGGCTTTCCCAAACACAGAGCAGATGGAACGGACTGAACCTCAGACTGGGGGCTTAAAACAGCAGAAATCGGTTCTGTCACAGTCTGGAGGCCGGAGTCCAAGCTCCAGGTGTTGGCAGGGCTGGCTCTTTCTGGGGGTCCTGGGGGAGGATTGGTCCC